AGTTCCACCTATTGCCACTCACCTTTCTGAGACCTTCCATCCCTCCCTCCCGCACAGTTGCTTATGGATTAATCATTTACCCCTCCAGGTACAAATGACAAGAGCAAAAATGAATTTAGGTTTCACAGGAAGTTCCAGCCATGATAGAGAATGTTGAGGCATAACTGAGCTCTATGTGTGTCCTGAAGTGCCACCATCATGTGCAGAGGGTCACTAGGCCAGTCCCATGGTGGCTCCTTATTGTTGGATCCTGTGCAATTGGGGGTTGATAATGAAGCCCATATCCATCATTCCATGCCAGTGGTTTTTAGTCAAAGCAGAACTGCCACTTGGGGGTGATTCTGGGTGTCTGTGGGAGAGTGTTTTAGTTGTTCCTATGGTGGTGGTGGAGCTGGCATTGAGTGTGGTCAGGATGTTAGACATTTGCTCAGGAAGATGTGTAGCAGGACCCACCCCTAGCAGGACCTGGTAACATCCACTGGCATTTTGAAAACCCTGCTATAATTATCTGAGCCTGGGGCCAATTCCATTTTACATTTTTTTTGAGGGGGGGGTGGTACTGGGGATTGAACACAGGGGCACTCAACTATTGAGTCACACCCCCAGTCCTTTTTTGTGTATTTTATTTAAAGACAGGATCTGAGTTGTTTAGTGCCTTGCTTTTGCTGAGGCTGGCTTTCAACTTGCGATCCTCCTGCCTTAGCATCCCRAGTTGTTGGGATTACAGGCATGCACCTCCATGGCTGTTTTTTTTTTCTTTCTGAAAATATGCTATAAATTTTCCAGAAATGTGTAAGACAAGGGAGAGTTATGCTTTGTTTTGTCTGAAGTTTTTATTATTATTAAAGGCACTAGTGATCAAATTCAGGACTTTGTGTATGTTAGGCAAGAACTCTACCACTGAGCCACATCCCCAGATCTGTCTGAAGTTTTAAAAAGAGTTGTTCATTGTTTTGAGAAAAGTCTCATCATCAAACATTTATGGTGTTTAAGTTCCCAGTGCTCCTCTGGATTTTGCTGATTAGTTCGATAGCCTTATTATAACAATTATTAAGGCTTTCTGTAATGTTTTGTTTTGGAAACTAGGAGAGTAGGAAGGATACATCAAGAATTCTCTCTCATATTTAAAAGGGGACCTTGGATCTGATAGGATCAAAACTTGTTGAATTTCAAAGCCTGAGAGGCTGACGTGTCTTCACAAGTCCATGGTCTAAAGTCTTAGGAAACAGACCTCTAGAGAACCCCTTTCAGGAGGTGTTTGGAAGCAGCTTAGCTATAGCACCCCAGCAGGTGATTGAAGGTTACAGGAGGATTGCAGGGGGTCAGGCCTAGCGAGGCCAGGAGGAGGACAGGGGGAGGAGAAGGCATCCTACAGGGAACAGACTGCAGCTTGGGCAGGACCTCGGTGTGGCCTGTCAAGGCAGGGCTTGGAAGGTTGGGGCCGTCCCTATTCTACAGTGAGATGCAGAAGCATAAGGACAATAAAGTCCTCACAGGGAGTTTGTGAGGATTAAAAAGCAATGGCTGGACAGAAAAGGAAAGAAAAAAAATGAAGAATCAAAATAACCACAAGGGCTGTGAAACACCTTAGTATTATACCTGGTCCCTAATGGGCAACAGATGGTCGTTATTGCTGATACCTTCACAGACCCAAGGACTAAGGAATCCTTGTAAATCCTAGGCACTTGAAACAATAAGCATTTATGTCTAAATCTAAGGTAGGCAATGTAAAGTCCTCCTTTTTTGACACAGTGTGTTGCACATAATTAACTCTCCTGCTTCTGGGTCATCCAGGTGGGGACTGGTTTTTAAGGTAAGTGCCATCTCCAGAGCTAGAGGAACCAGAGATCTAGCAGGGCCTGGGATTCTTTTTTCCTCCATGGGATTTGTGCTCTTGGGATCCTTTAGTCTTTGGACGTTACCTGCTCAGCGGCAAAGATCAGGGACTTTGGTTGCATGGCTAACGACATTTTCCTGGACAATGTCTGGTTACTTTTACAAAACTATCTTTCAATTGGTTAAAGCAATTATCATTTCTCTAACTCCCTCCAAAAAGCTTCCTGATTGCTCAAATGTCTGCCTTTACAGAGCACTGGAGAAGAAAGGAAGTTGGTTAAGAATTATAGAGTGGGCATTTGGGAAGAGAACTGGGTTTGCCTATGAATCCAGCCAGGAAGAGTGTGGGTGATGGCTAAACCTGCTGTCTGTCTGGGCCCAGTGGATGTGTCTTCTTTCCTCATGGGTCTTGTTCCTGGCACCCTGCCCAGTGATGAGCACCATCTGGGCGTCTAGTTGGGCAATTTGGGACCACCTGCTCCCCAGCCCGAGAAGGCAACTCCATGCTTTTCTGCAGCCATGATTCCCAGGGCCTTGGCTTTTCTCCAAGTTTGTGYCAATGTCTGTTTTACACTGGAAAAAATTCTAGTAGCAAGCAGCACTAAAAGACAAGCAGCTTCTTTAATGTTGCAACACTGTTAAAGGTTCTGTGAGAAAGGACCCCTGAGGGCCAAATGCCACCACCTCCATGAAACACTAGAAAAGACCTCTGCTCTGGACGCCTGCAGCCAACTTTTAGAACTCAGTCTGGCCCATCCACCTCGAATGTGAGGCAAGTTCATGCTCCCCTGCCACCCTCAACCAGGCTAGGAGTCTCTGAAGGGCAAAACATGGGCTCAGCCACCATCACAGCTGTGATCACTGTAATCCTAACCTTTGTGGAGAAGCATTAAGTGTTAGGCTCAGTCTAAGAGTTCTGTATTTAATTCTCCCAACAATCCAACCAGGTAGGTTCCTTTACTGACAGAGGATGAAAGCAAAATGTGCTTGAAGTTGCACAACCAGGAAACAGCACTGATGTCACAGGTCACAGTCACCCCCACCTGTTGTACTGCCCTCTGCACAAGAGGCACTCTGCAAGGTGGCTCAGTGACTTGATAATGATTCTGAAGAGCTCATTTAGTTTATTTCTAAGCATTTTTTTTTTTTTTTTAGTTCTAGAGATTTATTCGTTAAATGACAAACTCCCCCTTAAGTGAGTCTGTTAATAATTTAACAAAATCTGGAAATGCAGCAGTTCATCGCTCAATTGACTGAGGGTCTGTTGTCATTTTTTTTTAATATTTATTTTTTAGGTGTAGATGGACACAACACAATGCCTTTATTTTGTACGTGGTGCAGAGGAATGGAACCTGGGTCCTGCCCGTGCTAGGCGAGTGCTCTACCGCTGAGCCACAACCCCAGCCCCCTGTTGTCATTTTTGTTAGTTTCTTTCTGTTTGGGAGGGTCTCTTGGGAGTGACCATGAGCCAAGTAACCACTCTCTAAGAGAGTCCTGATGGGAGGTGGGGTTGGCTAGGGTCTGGGGTTGTTCAGGTGAGACCCAAAAGGATCAAAATGCACAAAACAAAAGAAATTCATTTCTTACAGATCCTAGAGAGGTTCAGAAGCAGATGGGCGCTGACAGGAAGCCTGGAAGCGGCAGAGAGCTCCATGGGCAGATGGGGGACAAGCGAGAGGGGACGAGGGGCCATGTCCTTATCAAGGCCCGTGGGCTTGCTCTGTCTTGGGCTTTCCAGTGGGGGTGTGGATGGAGTGGCTGGTTTGAGGAAAATGTAGGAAGGGGGAACTTATTTATATGTTTCTGGTGTTGCCCGTTAGGCTTACCATGGTCAGCTGCTGTGAGTTGAGTTTTAGGTCAGAGAGATGAGGAGCAAATGGGGGGTTAATTACAAACTACCATGTGGGGAGGGAAAGTCTTCACTAGGCCAAAGGTGACAGGGTGCCCCTGGGCTTCCTACAAGGTATCTCAGACTAAAACAGGAAGTCAAGGCACACAGTTTATGAAGGGTGCCTTGGTGTGGTCACAGGTGGCCTGTGCACACTTGGATTGGGATCTGCAGCTCCGGCAGTTTCCAGTTTGCAGAGGAGGAAGCAGCAGTCGGGGGGAGGTCATGGATCTGAGCTAAGCTGTTCCTTACCTGGAGAAAGGCTCTGTCCTGCAGCCTTACCTTGGCTGAAATGAACTGTTACCTGCATGACCTTGCCGAAATAATGGGAAGTCTGAGGTCAAACTGGAAATGTGAGCCACAGTGTGCTATTTAGCTGCTCACAGAGAATTCTCTTCATAGAGAGAAGCAAATACATCGGCATAGATTAGCTAGTTTATATATATGAAATAAAATAATTATAGTAGTTATTATACATATATAAACTGAATGTAGTGAGATCAGGAGAGATGACTGAAATGTGGCAACCTTTTATACCTAAATACTTGCTTAAGTGCTAACACATGTGATTTTACCATTACCATGATGAGACAAAAGAAATTGTTTCAGGTGAAAGCATCCCAGCTTAGGAACTCTGAGGTTTGGGATCATACAACTAGGTTCTAAAGTGTAAGTTAAGACTTTACAATATACACCAAGCCACCAAATTAACTATTTTGGAGGTGGAAAAGAGTGATAAGCAGGTTCCTAAGTTTGTTTCTGTAGTCAATTCATAATTTTGGTATTTTCACCAACTTTCCTATTTTTAAAAAATGAAAACATACAGTGTGGTGTTTGCTAGTATATTTCCCTCTAGGCCAGCATTTTTTATTTTTTCCAATTGAGAACTCAAAAAATAAATCTCAATGGTAAAGTCATTTTATTTCTCTATTTTACTTCTACCCGAAATGTAAGAAAACAGAGAAAGAAGTAAGAGGCTCTCCAGGAAGTGAGGGTGGAAACTCGGCAACCAGGTTTGCTTTCTCTTAGCCAAACCTTGAGAAGCCACAAAGAAGAGAGTGAGTCGGCAGGTTACATACAAGTTACGACACTTGCAATTAATTTATTAGGAACTCATTATTAGTCACCCCAGAGTTTTCAGAAAAACAGTGTTGTCTGAGAGGTTGTTGAGTTACATGTTACTGATAATGCCCTCAAAGCCAAAAACACTTAACTTAGTAATGGTTACATTTTGTTCTTTGACCAGGAAGTAGTTATAGTGACAAGGTACAAAAAATAATAAGCATGCAGCCCTTTATTTAGTTTTGCAAAGTCTCTGCTCATAGTTCTGTATATTACATGACTGTGTTATACAAATACATTTATTTACAAAACACTCTAGCTGTGCAAACTCGTTGCTTTTTAAAAATGTATGGATAGCCCCATTTCTGCCCATTCCAATATATCTTCTTAAAGCATGCATAAAAATTAACTTTGGTGTGGGAAAACTACTCTATGTGCTATCACATACAGTATTTTTGTCTATTTATATATTTACAAAAGTTGATCAGTTTACAGAACCGTACAGAAGTGTACATTTTAAAATCCACAATGCAATAGTGTGGGTTACCAGGTCTCAGAAAACGAAGGAAGGGGTTAGATACTGTAAAGAAAACAACCAGAGAATCTCAACATGTTTAAGAGAAAAACAAAAAGAAAAGAAAAAAAAAAAAGCAAAGAAAACAAGCTTGCTTGGGCTAGCAAATTATTATACATACTTTTAATGGCAGTGCAATAGTTTTGATAAACTGCTTTCTACAGAAGCCTCCCTATTGGCTTACRTAGAAGTTCATTGGCTTAGAGTCTAGCACACTACTTTCAAATGTACAATGCTATAGTATCAAAATGTTTTGGCAAAAAAGATCTTGAAAGGAACCATGAAGTTTTGACAAAAATAGAAATCTGTAATAAAGCTAAATAACACTAAAATAAAAGGAAATATTATAGTATCTGTTTTACAATTTATATAGTCACACTTGTGTATTTCTCTGTTCACTTCTAGTCTCCGTAATGAAAAATATTTTTATACAAAACATACTAAAGTTCTGGAATCATACATGTTTTACATGCTTAATACAGTTTCCCCCATCTCTCACACACCCTGTCCGCTCCCCAAACTCTCTTTTTGGTAGCAACATGCTCACTCCATTTGACAGGTCTCATTCTAGACAGTAAACACTACGTAGTTACAACAACAACAAAGTAAAAAACAAACAAGCTTTACCGAGATCTATTAATCCAGTATTTAGCACATACTTGTCATTAAGCCTCAAACAGTACAGCAATATATTACATTCTCTTGTGAAAACAGTTGTTGCAGACTGCTAAAAATGAAAAAAACAAAACAAAACAAAATATGTAACTCCGACTTGGGCCTAACAGGATTTGGCCTTTAAGAGGTCTCCTTGGCTGTGGAAGGGGTGGCTTTGCTTGAACTTCCATTCTGTGCCTTGTAGCTGGTGAGGCTGGGAGTATGGATGGTCCTGATGCCTTTGGCACCTTGGCTGAGGGAGGTCGGGGAGGCAGGGGAGGGAGGGGAGGAGGAGGAAGAGGAAGGAGGGACTGCTCGGCCATTTTGAGTCTGCAGTGAGAATGAAAGGTGGTGACCTTTACCTGTGTGAGGGGGGCTCTGAAATTTTAAGGAGCCATTAGAGACAGAAGGGATGAGGGAGGCGGAGTGAGCGGATCGTCCTGTTTGAGGGCTGAGAGGGTTAGAAGTAATCGATGGTTTAGTAGCAGGCGGATTAGGAAGGTTAGAGCTGTCACCACTAGAAGAGGGCAGAGAACTGCTTTTCCCAGAGCTGGGGGAAAGGGCTGGAATCTTAGAAGCAGGTAAGGAGGGGGAAGTAGGCTTACAGTCCCCAACAGCTTTCTTAGCACTTCCATTAGCCTGCAAACAAAGATGGCGGAAGACAGTTTATCAGAAAGCTGGTAACACGATCAGCCCACAGGGCCTGGCAACACAGCCCTTCTGAGACTCATCCAATAAAAGAATAACAAAATAGTTCAAGGCCTGAACTAAGTCTTGTGCTTTTCTAGACCTGGCAGATCCCCCCCATGCCCCCCCCCCCCAACCACCCACCCCAGTCCAACCACATAGCAAAGGATGTTCAGGCAGACGGAAAGGAAGAAAGCATGTCACGTCACTCCAACTACCACTTCCTGTGGGCAAGGTTGGCCGTGCATTGGGATTATTATTGGGTTTGGGCGGGACACTGTGATGGGAGAGTTAATGTACTCCTAGGGATGCAGTCAACACAGACGTTAGTATTGGTGACTTTAAGGGCAGTTCAACAGCAGGTTGGTTTGTCTCTGCTTCCCAACGTGTTCTTGATGAAGCACTACATTCACCAACGGAAATTCAACTGGTCTGGCACCGTGTGTTAACAGTTAAAATTTGGAGTCACAAAGTAAAAGATGTTTTATTGCAAGCATGCAAGAGCGTGGTGAAAAGTTTAACAAAGGTTTTTGTTTTTTGTTTTTTTTTTTAGACTTTCTTCATGCCCCCAGATCCAGGATGTCTACTGTAAACCATAGCTTACAAAGAAAACATAGTATTTAGTATGAACTAAGTCAGTGACTTGCTTCAAAACGGAAATCATGTCCATCCAAAATTGGGTTTAAGGTAAGACTACCTGACGATATTGGCGAGGATCCTGCAGTTTGGATTGCTTGCCAGGTTTGTCCAGGCTTCCGGGTCTATTCTTGGAACTCATAGGGACGGGCATCCTGCTCGTCTGTGGGGTCCCTCCGGAGCCCTGTGGGAAGGACCAGCGAGAGGGGGAAGAGAAAGAGAAGCATGTGAGTGGATCGTCACCAAGGCTGCCCCCACTGTGTGCAGAGAAGGCCAAGGGGAGAAGCCAGAGCCCTACATGCAGGACAGATCTAGGAGACACCAACGTGGGTTAATTGGAAGAATCAAACAGAATCAACTGCTCACTACTGATCAAACGGATTTTAATGTGAGTATCAGAGCAATCATTTCCAGAGCCAATGGCTGACCCAGCATCCGGACGTTTACCCGACACCAATCAGCAACAGAGGTAAAAACAGAATCAATTAGCTGTTAGACACCTAGTTGTTGTTGTTTTGAAGGTGAGAAAGGATGAGAGAAGGGGATCATGGCGAACACACACACACAAAAAATATCACGAGCCACCTGAAAGGAAGCAATTAAATCACAAGACACCTTTGGCTAATGGTGATTATGGCAGGTTTAAGAAAAGCAGCTGGGTCTTTTCATTTTCCACCAGACCAAGATACCTTACGTGAAGCTGAAGATACTGACGTGGGGGGCTCTAGGGCAGGGGGGGCTTCATCCARAACTAGCAAGTTTCGGGGAGGGGCCTCGTGGGCTGTGTGGGGTGAGCTTGCAACAGATTCTCTGTTGGAGGAACACGAGGTCTCCACTAAGGCTTTGGGACTCATTTCACTGATCGTACTTTCAAGCTGTTTGATGGTCTTCTCCAGGCTGTCCAATGTTCTGTAGGTATTTTTCCTAATTTCATCAGTTCTTGAAACCTGAACTGTGCTCTCTAAACTGGGTTGCTCCTGTCTCCTGGCCATATTTTTCGGGGTGTCTTCAGGTTGAGACCTGGTGATTTCGAATCGCTTGGCTTCTTTGTGCTGTTTCAAAGTGCCATCCTCTTCCTCTTCCTCGTAGACCACCACCTGCAGGGTCTTCTTGCCTGTCTTGGTTCCCGTGCGGATTGCCTGAGTGAGAGCAGCAAGTTGCTTTTTAGGGAACTTGAATTTAAATTTTTTCTTGGGGCTTTCAAATTGGTCATCGGCCACGTCCCCTTTGCTTTCGGAATCTGGAGAATCTGTCAGGCTCAACTTGCACGGCTCTGTTGGGTTCATGGCCTGTCCTGCTGGGGGCTTGGTCTCTGCTGATAGGGAGAGTGGCTTCGATATCATCTCTGTCTGCTGTCCCTCACTCAGACTTCCTGAGGCAACCTGCGTAGGAAACATGTGGGAAGCGTCATTCTTGACTACGGAGTCTCCATTTTCCTCCTCTTCCTCCTCCTCTATCTTTTCTTCCGTCATCATTCTCTCCAATTCCTCATCGCATTCCTCAAAGATGGTGGAAAGTCTCTTATATGCAGACCGGATGTCCATGGGTTCATCAAAAATGATGATAACTGGTTTCTTGTCTAGGCACACGACCGGCTCTTYGCCTTCAGTCACCTCTGGGCGGGAGGTCGTCTCTTTCTTGGTATCGATATTGACTGTCTGCACATCTTGTCCCTTTTGGCTCACTATGTCATGGACCTCCCCGCTGGACAGCACCTGGACAGCGGTTTTGGTGATCATGAAGGCGATGTTGTCAGTGGCTGAATTTTCTTCAGTGGGAGAACCTGGAATTGAGTCTCCATCATCAGGAGGATTCAGGTTTCCATGCCTCGTCCCTTTGGGTCTTAGAACAACTTGGCTGATATCTGTCATGAGCCCATCTTGATCTTGTGTTCTGATGTCATGACTATTCGATTCTGTTGACCTGGCAGGGGAGGGAACGTGACACTTATCTGTATTTTCGGGTCCTTGTTCACCCATCTCCTTTGTCTTTCCGTAATTCAACTTCTGATTCTCAGGGTCAGGTAGAGGGTACTGTAGTCCTGAGACTTGGGGCCCTTTGTTTATTTCATCTTCTAATGAGTTCATTCCAGAGAAGCTGAAACTGACCTTTGGCATATTTTTCTGGGAATAGTTTCTACTGTCTCTGAATAAATTCTTATTGGAAATGGAATTTTCCTTCATTAAGATGTCAGTTTTATGTTCTGATGTTATGGATGCATCAGAAATACTATTCTCCATTCCTCTTTCCCACTGAGGAGGGTCACTAGGTCTTAAAGCCCCTGCAGAAACCTGCAAGCGAGAGTGGAGGAGGAAAACCACACACATTAATCAGCAATGGATCTGCAAGGGAAAGTAATTGTCTGCATGGTTATCAGCTGGAACACAGATGTGGCGAACTCACCTTTTGTAATTCCATTTGGGGACCATTGTCATATTCAACATCAGATTTCCGTACATCTTCATGGAAAATTTCCAAATTCTGGTAGAATAGTGTAGGACATGTTACTCCACAAAACCACACCCCCCCAAAGTGGATTATAACTAAATTGTTTCTTTAATTAACATTTCCAAACATGCTGGTCAAGCACAGTTGGTTACAYGCCAATCCAAAACCTATGGCTCTGTTTACCTGGGATTGCTTTGTTCTCCAACTTCCAAAAATGCCCTGTGTTTGCACAAGATGAAAGTCTCAATTAGCAAAATATTTCAAGTATTTAAAATTTTGTGGGGGATTATTTATGTGAATAAGGGGACCAATCAATACAACTTCTTTTCAACCTCTGACTGTGATCTTAGTTGAATCTGGAGCCAGAATTGCAAAAAGCACAGCATATGGAGAAGCAGTGTGTTCAGATTCTAATCCAAATCTTTCTCTTAACTATATGACTTTAGGCAAGTTATTCATTTCACTTGTCTGCACCTTCATTTTCTTGCCTAGAAACTGAGGAGTAAGACCAGGAGATTTCAAATGTCCCTTCCAGCTTGATTTCAGTCCTATTTCTGCTTCTGTGAARATTGTTCTATAAAGACTTCTGCATTGATTAGTTATGGTGCTTTGGAATTGGAAAAACAACAACGACATTATTTTTCCCTGGTCAAATGACAGATTGAAGATGTCTTTGCAGTTTTTACGCAGGTGTCAAGGGGTCAAAATAACCTTCAAATTAATAACCAAGACAATCAAATCCAAATTCACAGTGATAATGCTGCCACAAAATACGGTCATGTATCACTTAACGATGGGGACCCATTGTGACAGATGCATCATTAGGTGATTTTGCTGTTGTGTGATAGAGTGTGCCTATTCAAACCTAGAGGGTACATTATCCATTCAGTGAGGCCTCTTGATGTCATCAAGAGACATGAGGCTGCTACTTGTGCAATAGGCCAGGCTGTCTTACTGTGACATTTTTTTTTTTAATAAATAGAAGCACACACTAAAGTAATGATACAAAGTATCAAAGATACAGGGATGGGACTGGAGTTGTGGCTCAGGGGTAGAGCACTTGGCTAGATCATGCGAAGCACTGGGTTCGATCCTTAGCACCACATAAAATAAATAAATATAATAAAAGTATTGTAAATTCAACTACAACTAAAAAAAATTAGAAAAAAAGATACATAGGTATTCAAAGTCTAGAAGATACATAAACCAGCAACAGTTGTTTATTATCAAGTATTATGTACTATGCATAATTGTGTGTGCTATGCCTTTACATGTAGATCTGTTTCCATCAGCATCACCACAAATAGGGCAGTAATGGGCTGTGCTATGACCTATGGCTGCAGGGACTGTTGCTAGGGGACAGGGATTTTTCAGGATCATCATTGTATATAAGGTCCCCTGTGGACCAAAACATTGTTATGTGGTGCATGACTTTTATCTAAACACAAAACAGATATATTAAGCTAAGACAGTGACAGTGACATCATGATTCAGCTTTACTTCTCTGTATATTACCATGCAACTTTTATTCTCTACATTTTATGGTGTAGAGCAAAGATACATTTCTGAGGGTCTCACCAAGGCTCAGACTAAAGGGCCCAACAGTGAGGCTGCAGGTAATAATGGAGCTTCCCCTAGAAGCACAACCTCGCCAGCCTGACTGTATGAGCAGCCTCAGGCCATGCCACCACCTGGACACTAGTAATGCCTTGTGGCTTCCAAAGCACTGCTGCCCCTTCTTGCTGTAGAAGCCCAAAAGGAAATAGTGGTTATAACAGGGTGTAACACAATCCTGAAGAAGGCTATTTGGTTAAACCAATGACAGAGTAACAAAGCACAATAACCCAGGCTGGGCCAACTCAACCCAAAGCAGTCCTAAGTCCCTGGTYAAAACTGGAAAGAATGTTCACATACACTCAAGGAATAACACATACACCGCAAGGTTAATTACACAGAAATATCCACAAGGTACAAGGCACATTTAGCCACCCAACACCTCCTGTTTTAACTTCTGCATGTCCTCATGTTGAAGTCCCCCTGCAGAAGGGCAGTGCTGCAGTTTGAACCATACAGTTTCTCTTGTGGGATTTAAAATGTTCAGATTATAAAACAACTAACATGTCAAATGCATGGTTTTTTTAAAAAATAAAGTTCTGGCCTAAGGTTTCAACTCCAAATATGTAGTTAGCATATTTTCCTAGGACCTGAGTGAGAATTTACCCTCTGAATCAAAGAAGGGATTGGCATGTAATATTAGGAAGACACATGTCAGACTGGTATGTCTTCCTGCGTTCATTTATTAGGGTATCTGTCCTGATTGTTCAGGGGCCTGTGCCACACCCATGTTAAATATTTCCAGTGTCACCCTGCAGAACATGTATTTTGATGTTGATTTACTAGCAGAAATAATCAGGTGGAAAGGCATCATGTTAAAGGTGTTGAGGAGGGCTGGAGTTGTGGCTCAGTGGTAGAGTGCTTGCCTAGCATGTGTGAGGCACTGGGTTCTATTCCGCATATCAATAAAAAAAAAAAACAACAACCCACCAACAACTAAAAAAATATTTAAAAAAGGTATTGAGGATACATTTCAAGTGAACTATCATTTTCATCATGATCTAGAAAAAGGAATAAATGTATCAAAGCAAGTGTGACATTGGGTCAAAAGTGTCATGTAAATAGAAAATGATTTTTTAGTTTTAGAAGGTCAAGACTCTATGTGAAAAGGAATTAAGCCTCTTTAATATGTTTCTAGGCCCCAAGAGTTAGATTGCTTACATAACTGGAGAACCATACTCAATAGGCAAATGGACAATAAACCAAAATAAGAGACACAGTTACAAGAAAATTGCATAAAAGCAAAGTATTAGGCTAGAGCTTCATGATAATAAGAGGAAAACATTTCACTTATGGGACAGGTGAACAGCCCAGGTAGAGGTTAATAATGATAAGAACTGAGAGACAAATTTGAAACTTATGGTTATTATGAAATAGATCTATATCTGAGTAGAATGATCCAGAAAAAGCACCTGCAATTAAACCCAGTGCTGGGCACTCAAGATAGACCTGCTGGTTTTCCAAAAAAAATCCTTGGTTGTGATAAATGATATCAATGGGATATGGGTTTTTAATTATGGAATAACAAGAAATCTCATGCAACATTATAGCCAAATTGAGAAGTTCAAGTTAATAAATCAATGATTGTCTCTTTCAGAAGGGATCTTTGAGAAGTTCCAAGTTCCCAGTCAGTGTTTTAGACAGAAATGGTTGTATTGTCCCAAATATGCCATGCTAGGTCATGCCAGGGCCACCCATGAGTTAGTTATTTAATAAGATCACATAAGAAAATTCCACATAAGAAAATTTCACATGAAAAAGCAATATATTTCCAATATGACTTTGAGTTCAAATTAGGAGGAGGGTTTCTTCATGAGTGAGATCTATCAATATTCTTGTGATCTCCTCTGGTGGAAAGGATTCTCCTTCCCCTGGTAGCAATTTTATATGTCCCTTATGTGGCAGATATGGTTCATCCAAGGGCTCTAGGCTGGCTGTGAGCCAGAGAGGAGCAGATTTCTTGAAGGCTTTGTCAGACCAGCCTTCAGACACTGTGACGTGCCATCTCCCTCACTTAGATATGGACCAAGGATCCCAGTTGGAGAAGCTGTGGTGCTATCTTGCACCTGATTAGTTTGACTTTTAAGGGAAACTTTGAGTCCCTGAATTCTGATATATAAGTTCCTGGTGAGAACTGTTAGGACTTGAGTTGGTTAAGATTTTTATCCTGATATTTAGACAAGTATCTTCATTAAAATAAGATGGCTTGAAACCCCCAAATCATAAGTGCTCTAGATCCAATTTAAAGTCACAGCTCCAAAGTCCAGGTTAATATCCTTTCTCTAAAGTATGTATGCAATGACAACTGCTTTGTTTTTAAGCCTGGACAATCTTTTAGAAGCTACAAATATAGTTCAGTGCTAGAATTATCTCAGAAGACACACTTTAAAAACTGGTAATACTTCACAAGGATTCTGGTGGGCATTCTTGGACACATGTATAAATACTCATAGGTTTCTGTGATTCCATATTTATACATATGTGACCAAGATATTTTCTGTTATGCAGGTCTTCCCTGAGACTAAGGCTTTCACCTATTTTTAATATAGTTTCTTTCTTTCTTTCTTTTTTTTTTGGTCCAGAAGACATGTTAAMAGTTGGAAAACTTCTATATATTTGGTTGCTATTTCTTTTTTTTTTTCCTTTCTAGAGTTGTTCTAGAAAATCTAATATTCTTTAGTTTAGGAAGATATTGCTTAGCTTTTGCATATACTATTATATGCTGGGCACAGACACACAATGTTCACTCTGGAAACCTGAGCCAGGTATCTCTGATCTCAATATAAACCTGTGTCTCTATTAGTTAAAAAAAAAAATAAAGGCAGAGAGAAGGAGAGATAGGGCAAGAAGGTCAAGTGCAAGAGAGCCATGTTAGTGTCAGAGCAAGGAAGAAAGGGCTGTCTGACCATGTGGCAAATGCATAATTGCCACGTTGTTACCTTCTTCTCCTTGGGTGGCACTGTGGCGCCTGGCCTAGTGTCTTTAACGTGACTGTCAGCCCGGGACTGCTCAGCATGACTGTTTGAATTTACTTCCATAAAGGAACACTTCTGGAATGCCTAAGGAATTAAAATAGTGAGGTTAACAGGGGTCCAAGTATACCAAACAGAGAAGAAGGAAACAGGCAGGAATCCAAAAGCACAGGGACCCCAGTACTGGGGTCCTGCCTGCAGTCACACCAGGGAAGCATCACCCTGAAATCCTGCTCTCCACGGGCCCTCAAGTCAGCAGAACAGTTGACTTGGGGGTGAACCTCTGGGACATCCTCACCAAGATAAAATGGGCAGAGCCCTCAAGAGGAACACCCTGGGGCTGGGGGTGTATCTTATGACTGAGCACATACTTGACAGGCATGAGACCCTGGGTTCAAACCCCAGGATCAAAAAAAAAAAAAAAAAAAAAAAAAAAAGGAGAGGAACACCCTTTCTTTTGTGTGGGTGAGCCTGATTTGTACTTAGTAGGATTTCTTGCTCTGACCTTTGTAAGATGTTGAATGTAAGTGAATTAAAAAAAAAAGATCTTTTCCTTCATTCCTTTTTTTTTTTAAAAAAACAAAACAAAACAATTTTATTGTATTATAGGAAGAAGTTCACAGGACATTTTAAACCTTAAAAGTAATTTTTACTAATCCATTCTCTGAAATAGTTAACAGGTCCTACCCTGCTTGAGGCTCATTTAAAACGAAGTGACCCTCCTCAGCACCCATACATGCATTTCCAAATGGCCAGGGAGCTGCCTGAGCCCTGGAGATCTGCCTCTGAAAATTAACCATTGCCACTCTGGGAGCCAGAGGCTGGCTCGTGTGGACACTGTCTCAGGGAGGCCAGTTCCCTGGCAAAGAAAGAAAGTAATGGCTGTTACTAGAGGGCTGAGAAGGAAGTGGACATTTCTAGAGCCTCCTGACACTTGACAATGACAGCAGGAGAGCTGAGGACTCAGGAACCCAAGTTCATGACCATCATTGGTTTTCAACCAGTTAATTTGAGGGAAAAGGACCATCACCAAGGCTTCTTCCAGAGAACAACTAAATCAAAATATCTGGGCCTTTTCCAATCCCCCAAATAATTCTAAGGTACAGTGAGGATTGAAAAATCACTAACGTAGGGCTGGGGGTGTAGTTCAGTGCTAGAGCACTTGCCTAATATGCATGAAGCCCTGGGTTTGACCCCTAGCCCTGCCAAAAACAAACAAAAACTCCAACAAATAAACTAACCAACCAACCAACCAAAAAACCTTATATAAATGCATCATCTCAAATAATTGTCTAGTATTTTCTTTATGTCAAATACAGACGTTTGGAAATAAGTTGGCAGGCAGAAAGGAGAATTGGTGTCTTCTCTATATGAACATTCCAGAACTGGTCCTAAAGTCCAAATATAGCTGATGGTGAGAGCCTCCTCTGCACTTTCTCCCATGACTCTGCTTGTCTCTCTCTTCTCGCCCCCCTGCCTTCCCTGCTACCTCACAGAAAGCCAGTCCTGGCTCACCTGGGAATCCCTGGCTTAAATGCCTGCCCATAGCCTTGCTTACTGAATCTACTCGCCATCTCTGTTGGGCTGTTAGGCCCTGGCTTTCAGAGCCTGTGTTTTCTTCTGATGCCTGGTGATGCTCTTAGAGGGGGCTGCAGAGTCTCCTCATCCTGCCCAGGATCTAAATCTAGAGGAAGAAGCAAAGAAATCAGCAAGGCCCTTGGCCACTGTCCTAGCAGGTTGGTTCTTTGTCCCAGCAGGAGAGCCAACAGGGCTTGGCTGAGTTAGGGTCACAGCACATCATTAATCACTGTTAAATGACCATCCACCATGGGGCCAGAGGCCAGATACTCCATGCAATGAAAAGTGGTCATCAAAGAGGGTATCGAAGATTAAGATTTCAGTGGAGGGAGGCATTCCCAAGTGGCAGGTTGGAAGTGACTACAATAAATGTATGACTTCTCTTAAATGGCTTAAACCTGGATTATTCACAAATCTAAAAGTTATTCACTTTACAAATCTATATGCTCCAACCATTCTAAAACCCTGTGAACAGTCTGATTTGGTGAAGGGATGTCCCAGGTCAGTCTGAGTTTTACTAAGGCTCAAAAGGGTTTACGTATATGACAGAGTAATCGAGAATCCTATTTTCCCTATAAAATCCAGCAGCTCAATTCTGGCAGTTATTACCATGGAAACTAGTAGTGAAAAAGACATGATTTGAAAGACTCCCTACTCCAAACGAAGAAGGAGAATCCATGGGCCTGCACAGCCCCACTTTGTGCAGGGAGAAAATGACATGTTTTGGAGTCCCAAGAAGTGTGACTATCTGATAGATGGAAATATCCTATAATACGCAGGAGTCCACCAAAATTCAGAGTTTAGTCTGGGAATTGTGTACGCGTTAGACAAGTTTTTAGAACACACTCTTAGGGAAGATTCTTATCTATGATTGGAATGTGAGATATCAGTTATGGGTATAGTTCCTATATCCCATCCTTAATCCTATGAGTGAAAAAGTAATAAGCATGTAAAGCTGATGAAGTATCATTTCTCAAACAGGCCAAAGCAAATGCAGAGCACATTTTTTTTTTTCAGCTCTTCAGAATATCTGATAAGATGACATTCACGTAGAACAGGAACCTGGTATGAACTACAGGTGGTCATTCATTGGCATGACTCAAAACTGGTCACTCTAAAGGTTAGAGCCAAAGAACAGGATCCACCTAAAGTGCGCTTCAATCAGTCCTTATCAAGGCAAGACAATGGCTGGTGTTTCTAATCACCATCTTAATTGCTTTTGGGATGAAGCAAAGACTATTAAGTCAGAAGGAAAAGAAAGAAAATCCTATGGCTAGAGCTAGGGAGGAGTACAAATGATTTTTCTTTTCTTTTTTTTTGGTTTGGGCAGACATTTATTTTCTAAGATCCTAAACCCAAGTAACAAAAGCAAAAATATAGAATGAGATTTCAGTAAAGAGCTTTCTCACAACAAAGGAAACAATTAATAGGGTAAGATAAAATTTTATGGGTTGGTAGAAAACATTTGCAAGTTATGTTATCAAATGTGGGGCTGATATGCAAAATATATAAGCAACTGAAATGATTTAATTATAATAAAATAAATAACCCTATTAAAATGGGAAAATTACTTGCATAGTCATTTCTCCATAGAAGATAATTACATAGCAAACAGATTCTTGACAAAGATGCTCAACATCACTGGTGAGATTCCTCACATGTCTCACAGGCACCCCAAGAGCCTGGTATGGTGCCATCTTGGAAAAGTAGAGGCCAAGGCTAGAGGACGAAGCTTATGTGTCCTAGCTCCAGGGGCCCCTCCCCAGCCTTCTCTAGCTAAACCAATCTGTGGAAAGCGGTGTCTAGAGAGTCCTGGATGAGATGGTAGAGAGTCAATGGCAGTCACCTCACTCACATACCTGGAGTTCTGCCATTATTTTGTCTCCTTCTTCTTCTTCTTCCTCCTCATCTTTCAAGGAGGATGCAGTGACTGGTGGTGGGGATGGGGCCCAGGCTGAAGCAGGCTCTTCTGCTGGACATTTTGTGGCTCTTGTCTGTGGGCTTGAACCAACATCTTCACCACTGGCCTGTGGGAAATTCAAACCACAGATAATGGCTTAACACCTCTTAGGTACCAGCTAAAAAAGTGACAGATTCACACGATCCCTCGTCATCTGATCCCTTGGCTTCCTGGATCTTCACACTTAACTGAAAGGCTAGTTTGGGTTTTCATTTTGACAAGTCATCATTTTGGTAAATAGATTGAAGAATTGTAATAAAATCAAAACTCAGCATCCAGGCCCTTTAAGAAAGGCCACCTCCCATCCTCCATTTCCTTGGAAATTGTATTTTACATTTAATGTGACAAAACTTGCCAAGTTAAGCGGGAGCTATAGCTCACTTAACATCTTTCTGTATAAACCCTCACCTGTGTCAGCTAAGCCGCTACCTTTGTAAGATACCTTTCTTTCACTTTCCCTTTTCTTCCCCTATTTTCAATCTTAAGATGACCTGTTTGGGGAGTAGCTTATGATTTATTTATTTTATTTTATTTTTTGTTTTGGTAATGAGGATTGAACCCAGGGGTGCTCAATCACTCCCAGAGCAACATCCCCAKCCCTTTCTATATTTTATTTATAGACAGGGTCTCTCTGAGGTGCTTAGGGCCTCGAGGCTGTTGAGGCTGACTTTGAACTGGCAATGTTCCTGCCTCGGCTTCCAAAGTCACTGGGATTACAGGTATGTGCCACCAGGCCTGTGATAGCTTGTAATTCACACTTAAATCAATGCAGTGAAAAGTCAAGTCAGGATAAAACCTGTGATGCGAGTCTATTCTAGTCACATCAGCTGGGTTTTCCCACCTGTGGCACTCCTTGGGCATGTAGTTTAGTTGAGGTTCTATTTCTCTTCTCCATATAACTGCTTTTATGTTTGAACCCAGAGCATCTTGTCTAAGGGTATCATCGTGCCCCAAAACCAGTTTACTAGGAATCAACCCGTCAGACCTTGGTGGTGGTGCTCTCCTTCCTGCCAGTGTAGACCACATCACCGGATCTCGTGGTAGTGAGCCCCGATCCAGGCAGGTAACTTCTCCGAGGAGGTGGGGGAGGGGGAGGGGGTGATTTTCCCCCCAGCTTGTCCAAGTCTGGTTCTGAATTTGGTGAGTCTTCTGGAAAACAATGTGCCATTGTGATTTTTTTTTCAAGATAATGTTCAAAAAGTCCAGTGTATTGCTATAAGCTTAAAGAATACTGACTTAAAAATTTTGTCTTTCCCATATAGCAACGATTAAGCATACAGATCCTGAAGATCGACTGGATTGAAATCTCAGAAAGACCCTGCACAAATGACCTAACTTCTCTGTGTCTCAGTTTTCTCATCTATTAAATGGGTATTCATTATTAAATTAATTTTTAATGACACAAAAAAGCTGATTGTCACTTGAAAAAACGAGGAACTAAAGGTAATTCCAAAATGCCTCATATGTCCTCCAACATCTTCAGTCCCTCAGTGAAAAGACAGATGTATCAAGAGGGATGTGTGTGGGGAATGTTAGAGGAGGATCTAGC